AAATATTTTTCCAATCTTTTTAGCACTACTTCTCATTTCATATTCTCTAGAATTTTGATTTTGTTCAATGAAGTACAACTATTATATCAAGAGAGGTGGAAACTACATTACTATTGTCATAACTTGGTTACACCCAATGGAAGAATCACATGGTGGTTAGGTTTAACTATATTTTACCCATTCAAAAGATAAATAAAAGGAAAGGAAGTAAAAGGAAGAACTTAGAAGATAACTGTGTTGATGCTCAGTAGGGTCCAGAAGCTGTGAATTCATGGTCCCAGTTTCTATGTGAATTTTCTGCAGTGTTTTTCCTTTTTGTGTTTGTTTTGACTCAAATTTAGTACTTTGGGCAAATTTAGAGATTTTATTTGGAATTTCCTATTATAAATCCTAACAGATGTGCTTGTGTTTAAGCAGGAGCTTTTTTAATTAAAGGCCTCTTCCACTCGTTGCAATGGGAGCCTTGTTCAAACTGTAAATGGTTCTGTCTGAACCTGTGTAGGAGGCCCAAATTAAAAGACCCTAATCATCTCGCACACCTTTGCTGAGGATGTTCTCAGACTTTGGCCATTTAACCTAATCTATAGACTGGATAAGATTGTACTCATGATGTATATTTATGGCACTTACTCTTTAAGTTTAGACCACGATGGGACCAGGGTGACTTCTCTATGCCACGCTTATGTTCTATCCATTCTGTGGGACTTAAGGGACAAGTATGAACTTTTGAAGTGTGGTAACTACTTCATAAACCATTAAGCCTGTCCCTGTGGACATGGAGGTACTTATTTTTTTGCTTTTTTAAAAAATGATTTTAAAAATTACATTTATTTGTTTAAAATTAAGGTATAATTATCATATAACACTGTTACTTTCAGGTATACAAAATAATGATTCAAAATTTGTATGTATTACTAAATGATCATTTTACATAGTTACAAGTTTGTTTGTTTTTTTCTTGTGATGAGAATTTTTAAGAGTTACTCTCTTGGCAACTTCCAAAAGTGCAATGCAGTAGTCACCATGCTGTACATTACATCCCCATGTAATATAACTGACAGTTTGTACCTTTTGATACCCTTTACTCATTTCTCTCATATTCTGCCGATGTCCTCTGGCAACCACCAATCTGTTCTCTTGTTCTCTGTATCTATGAGCTTTTTGTTTGTTTGATATTGTTGCTGTTTTAGATTCCACCTATAAGTAATATCATATGGTATTTGTTTGTCTTTGTCTGACTTAATTCGTTTAGCATAATGTCCTCAAGGTCCATCCATTGTCACAAATGGTAAGATTTTGGCTGAATAATATTGTGTGTATGTACCACATTTTCTTTATCTATGCATCCATCAGTGGACATTTAGGTTGTTTCCATATCTTAGCCATTATAAATAATGCTGCAATAAACATAAACATTTTGAGTTAGTGGTTTTGTTTTATTTGGATTAATACCCACAAGAGGAATTGCTGGATTATGTGGTAGCTCTGTTTTTTTTTTGTTTGTTTGTTTTTGAGGAAACTTTATATTGTTTTCTATAGTAGCTGCACCAATTAACATTACCACCAATGAGGGCTCCACATCCTCAGGAACAGTTTCTACTTCTTGTCTTTTCTTTTTAGCCATTCTGGAAGGCGATATCTCATTGCAGTTTTGACTTGCATTTCCCTGATGATTAGTAATAGTGAGCGTCTTTTCAGGTGTACATGTTGGTCATCAATATGTCTTCTTTGGGAAAATGTCTATTCATATTCTCTGCCAGTTTTTTAATCATATCGTATGTTTATTTGCTATTGAGTTGTATGAATTCTTTTTAAAAATTGTATTTATTTATTTTTTATTTTAAATTTAAATTCTTTATTGTTTAAAGTATTATATAAGTCTCCTTTCCCCCCCTTTGACCGCTCCCTGCCCACCCCCACCCCCCAGCACATGCCCTCACTTGCCACCACCCCTGTCTGTGTCCATTTATATGTTTTGGGTATTAACCCTTTATCATATATATGATTTGCAGATATTTTTATACCATTCAATAGCTTGCCTTTTAATTTTGTTTATGGTTTTCCTTGTTGTGCAAAAGCTTTTTATTTTGATGTAGTCCCAATGTGTTTTTTGTTTGTTTGTTTGTTTTGTTGCATTTACTTGGGCGTCAGATTCAAAAAGTCATCAGAAAGGCCTATGGCAAGGAGCTTATGATCTATGGTCGCTTCTGGGAGTTTTTTGGTTTTAGGTCTTACATTTAAGTCTTTAATACATTTTTAGTATATATTTGTATATGATGTAAGAAAATGGTCTAGTTCATTTTTTACATATATCTTTCGTTATCCAAATATGATTTATCGAAGAGGCTGTCCTTTTCCACGAATCCTTTGACCTAAATTTATTGACCATATGTATGGGTTTATTTCTGGACTCTCTATTCTGTCCCATTGATCTCCATGTCTGTTTTATGTATTTAGACAGAGTTACTATTCTTTGTTTTCTTCACTTTTCCTCCTACCCAAGAAACACCAATCTTATCAGCCTTTTAAAAAAAAATAAGGTCTTCCAATTCATTCCAGAATAAAGTCTAAACTCCTACAAATGGTCTCAAGGCCATTTATCACTTAAGCTCTGCCTGAGTTTCCAGCTTTGTCTCTAATACTCAAGCTTTAATAAACTATACATAGTCCTCAAAACATTTTATTCTTGTATGTGATATGCTTGTGATGTTCTCCTTGTCTGCCGGGCTACTGTTCAGTAACCAACTCTCTCTGCTCTCTGTCTCTGTCTCTGATATATTTGTTTCTTGTTACATTGCATTGCAACAATTTATGACAATCAGCTCTGCATCCCAAGAGCCATTTTGAGTTTGAGCACACCACTGACTCTAGAAGACTGTGAATTCATTGAGGGCAGATGTCTTATCTCACTTATTGTTTTAGATGAATGCCCAACTGCCAACATGCAGCTCCATAGTCAAAATACAGAAATTGTTTGCAGAATGAGTAAGTGAATGTATGAATGCCCATCAGCACCACCGTGGCCTTCAAAATGGATCCCCCCATGAGACCTATGGGAAGAATGATTTCCTAGGAGGTACACACACATTTGTCTCTCACAACTGCAACAGATAATCAAATAAATAAGAAAATTTATGCAGAGACATTTCATATATTTTGAAGCTTCACATAGAGAGTAGTGAGATTATTACTACATTTAAAATGGATAATAGTACCTATAGGGAGAGAATTCATACTAATATCAAAATAGGTGCTGATGTCCATCTAAACTTAGTAATAATACATTCACATGTTATTTTGAATACTATTGGTAATATATCTTAATACATATTTTATTAATATGTAATAATATAATAGATGTCTGAGGCAAACTAAGGTATCTCGGAGAAATATGGAAAAGTTACCTTGTTTAAAAGAAATTTTGATATGCCCCTTAAAGCAGACAGAAGAGAGCTCTGACTTTTCTTTCTAAACATCATTCTAGAATTCCAGCAACATCTCTCTAGTGATCCTGGTAGAAATGAAAGTTTCCAATTCATTCCATAGCTTCATTGGGTTGCAAACATAAAATTAGGACATAGTGATAGAAGTTGTCAAACTAAGGAACAAACCTTGCTCTTACGTTCTTTGAGAATGTAGGTGGAAATGTCATTCTATTTCAGGTGTCAACAGTTAAGGTGTCTACTCAGTGCCACTGCTATAATTCAGGTCAAAAGAGTCAGAAATAATGGTTTACTGTTTCAGTACATTTTTCAGCCCACCGTAAGAAGAAAAAAAAGTGCTTACCTTCCAACTGTTAAAGGTAGATGAATTTAGAGCATTGTCTTCCCTAAGTAGTTCACAGGAAATTAAATAAAATTTTAAAAGGATCACATCTATCCCAACAAAATAACCAAATTATTTCCAGTAAAGAACATCAAATGAGGTCATTATATCAATTCTGTTTTCATAAATATAGTACATCATCCACCTAAGAAATCACAACTGTAACAGATTTATTTAAATTATAAGATGAAAATTTATGAAAAGTCATTAAATTTAAAACATAATTGCTGAGATGGAACTGGCATGATTATTAAACAAAATTTCTGAGTCCCTGCGCACCAACATGCAAGCAGATTTAGAGAGCTTGACTTACAATTATTATATATTTTTAAACTACCATTATAAGAACTCAAGAACTAAAAACTCATCAATATTTTACTAGTCTTGATTTTTTAAAAAACACTCTTAATAGACAAATAAAACTATATCCTTTCCCATAGCAACAGTCTGTGGAAGTTTTTTATTCATTTAACATTGTTATATTTTGTACTTTAAAGATAGTTTCCAAAGTTATTTCTTCAAATGTTCGCTAAATATTTTTTATCTTAGTTGATTCACACATTTTTAGAGCTAAAAAAAATTCAAGGCTAGCTCATAACATAAACATTATAATGAAAATAACCCTAACAACTTGAACAATTTATTTTAAATTTTAGACATTTATATAGTATTTATATTCAATTATATAAACATTAACTATATTGAATGACAATGCTAACAACAATTGCTAAGACTTATTAAGTGATTATTATGTGCCAGACACTGGAGTAAGCTTTATACATGTACACTCACATTTAGTCACAAAATCCTATAAATGAGGTATTATCCACATTTAAACATATTAAAAATAAGGAAACTGAAGTAGGTACCTCACTTGCCAAGGACATATAGTTATTGATGAAAACTGAATTTCATGTCTTGTTTTATCTGATTATAGACTCAGATCTCAGTAAAATAAAGGAATTATATCCCCCTAGTGCAGTGATGGCGAACCTTTTGAGCTCGGCGTGTCAGCGTTTTGAAAAACCCTAACTTAACTCTGGTGCCGTGTCACATATAGAAATTTTTTGATGTTTGCAACCATAGTAAAACAAAGATTTATATTTTTGATATTTATTTTATATATTTAAATGCCATTTAACAAAGAAAAATCAACCAAAAAAATCAACCCCAATCCCAAAGACTATCCCAGAGTTTTATACCTTTTGGCCCACACTTCCACTGTTTAGGATTTGTCTGGGTGCTAGTTTCTGCAGGCCATCCTCTGGGGATAGATGGTTTGGGGGCTCAGCTGTGGGTACTGTCTTGCTCCTTCCTCTTCTGCAGCTCCTCTTGCCATCTTGCCTGCTGTTCACTCATGCAGTCCTTGAAGGCCTGCACCTGTGGCTGGCACTGTCGCCAGTCCTGGTGTTGGGCCATGCACTCCTGCACTGCATAGTGGGAAGCAGCACAGCCAGAGCGGGAGATCAGCAGGTCCAGGGGGTCCTCTTCCTCACCCTCTTTCTTCACCTGACGGGCCCAAGTATGTCCTTGAGTTGACATCTTTGGGAATCTCGAAAAGGCAGACGAGAGGCCCTGAACGCGCGCTCCCGCAAGTCCTCTTAGCAAGCACCTGGAACGCTCCCGAGCCTCCGGCTGGGAGCCAGCCTTTTCGAGGAGCAGAGGTTCCCATCACTGCCCTAGCGTTTGTGGCGCTTTTGCATGTGATAGCTAATTAAATTACCCAAATGATCATGAGCTTCTGCTGAGTTGTCTCACAACCTCGAATTCTGAGATCAAAAATTGAAACAATGAAATCATATATTTTACTTATGGCCACACAGCTCAGATTAAAGATTTGAACTTAATCTGTTTGCTACATCTGCTGTATTTATATAATTTTCGCTTTTAATTTCAGTGTATTCACACAAGATTACTCTTTGGTTTGCTTTATCCCTGGACCTTATATGTTCACCTTGATTATGACAAAGCAATGCCACCCAGAGAACATGCATGCCAACTGCTTTCACTGTATTAATATTTTTCCTAATAAATCAAGTGTTGCATTATGTTGAGGACTTCATATTGGTTTTTAATAATATGCAGGATAACTCAATATCACTCTAATGATAAGAGATGTTAAATGAATAGAAGTCATGCAATTCAACTACTAATATCATCAGGTCACACTTGACTCAGAAGATACATGGAAACTATGGCAGCCTCGGTAATGTGGCCTATCAGAGCTGATCTTCCGAAATAAACTCAATTCAGCCTATTGTAATTGTACTCCTCTTAGAAGAAGGCCAAGCCTTAGAAATTAGGGCTATCCAGATCCTACTTTAATTCAAACTATTTTCTAGCACCTGCAGTTTATAGCTATTGTTACTATTTATAACTAAACTAAAATTATTTGAATAACTAGTAGTATTAAGAAATATTTGTCTTCTTTCAAAATTAATGGCCTTAAGTGCCATTCCAATTTTATGATTTCAGTTACCATATTTTGGAAGTACTAGTAATATAAAACTTAAAATGTTAATCAAATTACATATAGTATATTTTTTTCTTAACATAATCTGGATTGCACCATACATATGGATAAGACTAAATGAGTATTTAAATATAAAACATAAAAATTAACTGTCAAGTTAATTTTGTTTACCTTTACAACCCTGGCAACTGTACATCATTTTGAATAATGGAGATTTTATTTGTTGTTGCCAAATACATTAAGCATAACTAGCTAAGGACAAATAAAATATTTCAATACATACATTTTTACATGGTTTTGTTGAATGAGAAATACTTGTCCTTGTCTAGAGTACATTGAAATTGCTCTGCCACAAAATGATATCTTCCAACAGATGTTATTTTTATCCCTGGCCTCTGCCATGGAGAAAAATTATAACCTCCTTATAAAACTATAAAACAGAATTGCTTTTCTTTATTCATAGATTATATTGACTTTGTAGGCCTAGGTCATTCTTAAAATTTACAACCTTAGGGGAAAAAAGAACAAAAAAATTTATGTTTAATACAAACTTATATTATAATTTAACTTTCTTAATTATTTTTCTTTTACAATAACATTTTAAATATTGTATTATGTAGTTTAGAAAATAATTACTGATTATTAATCATAAGTAAGATTTCAAATGGTGAGTCACTAGTAAATGAGAAGACTGGAGGAATACAAGACCAGACATATGACTCAAATGATTAGCTTTAAAAGGATCTTAGATGGTGATGGAAGGAGACTTCACTTAAGTTGGTGAACACACTATACCCACACAGATGATGTGGTATAGAACTATGCACCTGAAACCTGTATAATTTTATTAACCAATGTCATCCCAATGAATTCAATAGAAAAAATTGTTAAAGGATCTTAAAGAAAGACAGCACAACATTGCATTCTTACACAATATCTTAGTTCATTAGAGAAATGTTTACCTCCTAATACCTGAACTGTTTTTTCTCAATGGCATAATATAGGCAGGCATGCATGCAACCTGGTGATTCAATTTGCCTTAATGATGACAAATGCTAAATGTTGATGTACGGATGTATGTGTGTATGTGTGTGCTTGGTTTAAGAAGTGATTTTGATTACACTAAAAAGACTGAATACCCAACTAGGCCATAAAATTGCAGTACTTTCTTATAAAATATTAATCCAAAAAATTAGTAATCAACTTTAGCATGAGAAACGAAATTGAGGGTTATATTATCTAGGGGCCCTTTGTTGTGTTTGAGACAATATATCTATTCTATTTATGACCCCTCTCCTAGTAAGGGGTAAAGTAGAAAATATGTTAATTGCTTTTTCTTTCATTAAAGTGGAGACTAATATAATGAGAGAGATAGGATAAAGAAGACAGTTGCTCTCCTTAGAAGAACTAAGTCCACAGAGCATTTACAGAGTGGGAGGTAAAGAAACTGAGCAGTAGAGTCATGAAAAACAGTGGAGCAGAGGCTTGCTAACAACACCAAATTCAGTCAAATAATTTTCAGGTAATAAGGATAAAGAAGCTGCATTTGTCAATTAAGAAAGCATTGCTAAATATAAGCACAACACTTCCATTAGAGGAATGAGTAGAAGTTAGTATATGGGATGTTAAGAAGTGAGTGTATGTTAAGAAATTGTAAACAAATATTTGCTCTTTAAAACTTAGGCAGTGAATGAATCATGGAATTTACAATAATAACTTAAGGAAGGCACACATAGTAAACCCTATATTCTACTGAATAAATAATTTGAAATGGCTTTTAGTTTCAACAGTGACATGCATGGGTATTCTTCTAGTTTCATCTTTCTCCTCCTATGCCCAATTAATTTTTACAACATCAAAATGTTCTGACCATACCTAACTTGAGCAGTTATTCCTGAAATAGGCTTTCAATGTCAGCATTATATAAAGGACTAGAGGCCCAGTGCACGAATTCGTGCACAGGTGAGGTCCGGCCAGCCCGCCAGATAGGGCCGATCTGGCTGGGTCAGCCGGAGGGGAGGGGCTGTGGGTGATTGGCCAGCTGGCCCTGCCCCTGATTGGGGTGGGGGGGGGGTTGATTGGGGTTGGGGCCAGCCTAGGGGAGGGGCTGCAGGCAGTTGGCCTGCTGGCCCTGCCCCTGGTCGAACTCCTGGTCAAACTCCCACTTGAGGGGACAATTTGCATATTAGCCTTTTAGTATATAGGATAGGTCCTTTCTTGAATTATACTTGTATACATGACAATGCCCTAATTTACAAAAACATTCACCTTTATCCCATTTAGGCCTACTAAAAATCCATGATTGTCTAAAATTATATTTTTTGTAGAGAGCCACAGTAGAAATGTTAGCTGTGATTTGATTTATCCACTATCTAAACAAAGTCACTTATCACCCCACCCTGGCATTTCCTTTCCTGTGATGTTCAGATATCTTCATACTACTGCATCTCTAGGTCAGCATTTCCCCTATATGTGCCTCATCAGTTTGAGAGAATTTACTTTTATGTATCACAATCTGTAAGATCATTCCTCCCTGATGATTCATATCTTATTCAGTTTTTGTCCCCATTCTCTTTTCACTTAATACAGGTATTTCCAAATTTGGGGCAACTTGCTCTTGCTCTTTCTCTTTTCTCTTTCTCTTCCTCCCTCCCTCATTCTCTCTTTTTTCCATACACTGCCTTAGACAATGTTAATCCATGTCTTTAACTGACTTTATTTCTAATATCCAGTGCCATGATGCTTGTTGAATATCTCCTTCAGCACCACAATTCTATGTCATTTTCTTTTCTAAAACACAAAACAAAACACACACACACACACACACACACACACACACACACACACACAGAAAAACCTCCCAGGTCCCTAAATTTGTCTTTTGTAAATTGTACCAATAATGCCGACTAGAAAACTTGGGATCATCTCTGATTGCCCTCCTGGTTATCTTGTATTACTGCTCCATATTCGACCAATTTGCAAGTAATGGTCACACAGCCATCCTTTCCTTACTGAAGTGCAACCCTCCTCCCAAGGTGAAGTCTTTAATGAATGTCTTACCCGGACTATTGTGATAGCTTCCTGGATGGTTTTGTCATCTGTGTCATCTCAAACCACCTCTGGTGTCCCTATTTCTCAATTCTCATCAAGACTCCCATCTGCTAAAAACCATCATGCTCCACTGAAGACTAATCAAAATTAAGGACCTCCACACTGTACTCAGTCTTTCCAGACTTCATCTCCCTCACTTTTGATTCACATTTATTATTCATTGCAGTCAACCTGTAATACTCCTTTTTTCGTCTACTTCATACAGATATGCTGACCTAGAGTGCCTTCTGATTTCTATGGTTACTGACATCTCACCTCTCCTTCAAGTTATAAACCACATGCTATGTTTTCCATAATGTTTTTCCTGATTTTTCCTAGAAAACCATGATCTCTCTGTAATGACAAATTCTTTGCACTCTATTTATGTGATGTGAAGTCTAAAAATCTGGCTTCTAATACAAGCTGTTAGCAGGAAAATTAGTGGCAAGTTAAAAATGTTCTCATCTGTAAAATAGGGATAATGTTAATATCAACCTCACAAGAAATACACGGGAAAAGGTTTGTGATATCCTTATGTTACATGATAGCCATAAGGTCGGGGATTATTTTTGCTCACTAATATATCCCGGTGCCCGAAACAGTGACTGGTGCCTATAGTTAAATGTCTGATATATAAATATAGTATAAACTTTAAATATTTTATCTTAATATTAATCTTCAATATATTACAGTTATTTATGTTCTTGTTTCCTTTACTAGATAAAGAAATCTTTCTACTAGATATTAGTTGAGCACTTACAATGAAATAGATCCTGCCCTGTCTCTGTAACTGTTTCTGCTTTTGTGCCTTCTTTTCTGGCCTTGGTTCTTTGCTACCCTCCTGCAAGTTTTGGCATTCAATATTCCATCCCAAACCCTCTTCTGAACTCATTCTGTCCATTCTCCTTGGGTTATATTATCACTCTAGGGTCCCACCTGATATTATGCTCCAGTTATAATAGGCTTTTCTTTAAAAAATGTTTTTATTGATTTTAGAGAGACAGAGTGAGGGAGAGGAAGACAGAAATAT